GTGGGAATTGCTCATTCACAAATGCTGGAGAGGCACAGGCTCAAGGAGCCACGGATCGTGGGGGCACCTGTTCTGCACTGGCTCTTAATTTGTTTAGGATTTTTTGTCTAGGACGTGTTCCTGGTTAGTCAGTGTCCCCTACATATGTCCCAAATAAAAAAAATTCCAATCATTTAGGGCCCATGAAAACTTTTTCTTCCCTAAGAAAATTTTACAATTTGTGTTTTCCAATACTGAAAAATAGTATATTGACATATTTTCCAGCTCGTAACCAATGATACCCACTCATAGAAAAGATACAGATAGGAACTGATTTGCTGGTTTGTTTGTTTAAAGATTTTTGATATATTCTTACTTCTAAGTTACCAGCTCCTTAACTTACATCCTTTGCTGTGGACCGCCTTGGATTTCGCGTGGAAATAAAGTTGATGTAAGCAGACTGACTCTCCATGACTTCCCCACAGTCCCTGCCTAGGCATGGCTGGGCTCATCCAGATTTGGGATGGTAGCTGCCCAAGTCAAAGTGGATCTCTTGTGTCTGTGCAAACAGACAAGCATAAAGTAGTCCCCCTTCTCCAGGGGGGGTGCATTCTTAGACATCAAGTGGGTGCGTGAAACCACAGATGTATGGAACTCCATATACACCATGTTTTATGCATACATACCTATGATAAAGTTAAATTTATAAATTAGGCACAATAAGAGATTAACATCAACTACTACTAATAAAGTAGAACAAGTATAATAGTATATTTAGTAACAGTTACATGAATGAGGCCTCTGCCTCTCTCTCAAATATCTCACTGTATAGTACTCGCCTTTTCACTTTCAGGAAGCGCTTTCCGGCTTCTCCTTGGCATACACGAATCGAATCCTCAGCACTGCTACTCTTGTGCTTTGGGGCCAGTGCTGAGTAAAATGAGGATTACTTGGCCAGACACCCCTTGAAAAACAACCCGGTAGTTCAGGCAGCTACTGCGTAGTGAATGGAAAGGAGCGTCTCCCCCAGGGAAATAGGCGTGGGATGTCGCGAGATTTCATCACACTACACAGAACAGTGTACAATCTAAAACATAGGAACAGCTTACTTCTAGAGTTTTTCATTTAAAAATTTTGGTTTGCAGTTGACCATGAATAAATGAAATGGCAGAAAACAGAACTATGGATAAATGAGGAATTACTGTACACAGAAATAAAGCCTTTTAATGGTTACTGTCCTCAAAGAAGTTTTTAGGATCAGTAGGCTGGGCCTGCCCACATTCTTTCAAGACCCACTCTCTGTCACAAGAAAATTCAATAAACTCATCTGTGCTAATTATTATAGCCTTTCTATCTGACAAGGGTGCCTTAATGCGAGGAAATTCTGAAGACAATAATACTGCAAAGCATTGTATAACCCTGCACAAAAAGTCCTAGCACTTTGCAGACGAATGAGAGATAATTTAGGATTCAGGGGTTTTGTTTTATATCTCTCCAGTTATCTCCAAAATAGTTTTCTCCCAGATTCTTTATTTGATGACTTAAATGCATTTTCAGAGGTCGACGACAATGTAAATTATTCTCATTTAGGGCAATGCAAATAACTTTAGTCTGGCGGGGAAAATAAATCTCTGTTAAGTGGGAATCTCATTTGAATGGGTCTTAACTCCTTAACTTCTCCTGGGTCCTCTGCTATCTGAGAGGTTTTATATCCAATCTGAACCCATGCCTTCTCGAATCAATGCTAATTTCAGACAGCTAGTCTGAATGTAGGAAAGAGCAGCTCTGAATCAACCAGTGGTGCTTGGGAGGAAGGGTGGGTGGAAGAAGAGCCAAAGCTCTGATAGACATCCCAGGTCCTGCGTGCTGTCTGTTTACTGTCTTGAAACAGCAGGACTCTCAAGAGCCAGCCTTCCCAACAGGACAGTGATGTTATCTGCTGGCAAACTTGAAAGCAGAATAAACAGCACATTCCTCTTCCTTCAAGTACGTCACACTGCTGATTTTTTGCGTGTAAGAATTTACCAGAGAAATCTGGAGCCACTAAATGTTACTTGCTCAACCATTACCCTGTAACCATAACATTTAGTTAGCTCTTTGGAAGAAGGAAGCAAGATGAGGCATCTTTTAAACGATCCAAAAGCCTTCTAGATAGCAGATGCACCCACTGGAACGTTGATGATGCTTGTCATTTTTTGAGTCTCTAACTCAGGGTTAATTTTTATAAGCATGAAACTGCTCTGAGACAGGAGGTAAGCTGGACTGCCTCAGTATCAGTAATTTCTCATTCTATCAAAGATTTCCTAGGATATAATACAAATCCTGAGAAAGTAGGATCTTTAAAATATTTAGAACAATAAGCATCCATTGTTAGGTTTTTAGTCAAACCAGTACTGTGTCCCTCTAAAGCTTATGTGTTGAAACTTAATCTCCAATGTGATGGTATTTGAAGATGGGGCTTTTGAAAGGCCATGAGGGTAAAGCCCTCATGCATGAGATTAATGCCCTTATCAAAGAGACTCCAGAGAGTTCACCTGCCTCTTATGTCATGTGAGGGCAGGGGTTGAAGATAGTCATCTGTGAACCAGGAATCGACTCCAGCAAGACATCAAATCTGCTGACCTTCACCTTGGACTTTCCAGGCTCCAAAAACTAAGAAATAAACTTCTCTTGATTGTAAGAAATCAGTATATGGTATCAGTATATGGTATTTTGTTATAGCAGCCCAAATAAGATGGAGGATAGAAAAATACCAGGCCAGCGGTGGTTGCTACATCATGTACAGTAGTCTGGAAAAACTGACATGTGAGTGGATGCCTTGAGGAAGTGAGAAAGAACATTCTTTCAGAGAGAATAGGTACAACGGCCCTCGGCAGGATTGTTTAGGGCATGTTCAAAGAACAGCAAAAAAAACCCCCAAAACCAGTTCTGGCCCAAAGTGTCACTGGTGCTGAAGCTGAGAAAGCTGTTGTAAAGCATTCATTCCATTGTATAAATGTGCCACAAAATTTAGCTATTTAAATGATTACTGATGAAATTTAAGTTTTTCCATGCTTGGCAGAAATGAACAACACTTATGTGAGTATTTTGGTGTCTGTACCCTAGTCACATAAGCAGTTTCTCTGTAAGTAGACATTTTGGTCATACTCATTCTAGGTCGTTCCCAATTGTTTTTCGAAGTGGGTGTTAGGGTTTTATCATAAAATGTTAAGATTTAGCTTTCTTCCATTATAATCATCACATATATTTTCCTTCTCTTTTTCTTCCTGTCTATTTATATCACTATTTTGGTTACATAATCATCCATGTTTATTTTCGCAGGGTAAATTTGCTTATATCCAATCAATGTTGCCATGTTTATCTCATTTCTCCACAAGAAAAAATCAGAAGGGCAGAGATTAAGTATTGCCTAAATTACTTTTTGTTTGCTTACTTTCTACGTAACTGTCATTCATTTATCCTTAGACACGTTCATGGCACTATGAACTCCTATAAATATGATAAAATGTAACAGTCAGTCTCTCAGTTCTGTTTTCATTTTCTTGGAGATCTCCTTCCTTTGCTCTTCTGCTCATGATCAGATTGGTTGCATTTATTAATTTGTCTACCCCTCCTATTAGGAGGGCAGGGACTATTACTTCTGCATTTTTATATGCCTATATTTTAGAGAGTACACTAAAGTTATACAGTATGACAACTCAAAATTTATTGATTTGATCTGCAAATTGGGCTGTGGATATTTATACTGATATTTTTTAGGTAATTAAACTGAGTCTGTGAGATGTTAGCTGACTTGTCTGAGGCCACCCATGTGGCCCGAACAACGAAGGCTGTCATATTGTTTTTGACTCAGGGTGGTGTTTCCATTTAAAAGACAAGTCTTTCTAATGCAATGAGATTACCCCTTGGGCTCAAGTAAGCCTTGAATCTTGGAAGTGTCCAGCTGTCCAGCAGGACTTTCCAGTTTGGGCATACTTATTTTTGATCTGTTGATTACTGAGTGCTGTCACTTCTAAGGCTGACTAAGGAATGAGAGCAAAGGGTCCAGCATCATTGCTTTCCACAAGCTCAGCCTCTGTGTGGTTTGGATTTCTAGACACGCCAATCTTTGAGCTGCCACAGTTTCTGCCTACTTGACTATAATAAATTGCGTGGGCACTGTTATTTTTATTGTTACTTGACAACTACTTGTTAAAATGAACATGGGCTCTTTCTGGTGATTACTTAAAGAGAGTACTACCTATGTTTTCCTCACCTGTACTTCTCACATAACTGCTAGAATTCAGAACTCCTGTATCAACAAGTGCCGAGCTAGGTAACTTAGGTAGGCAGCTGAAGTTCAACAAAGGTCAGGGATAAATCACAGAAACTTTTGGAACTCAGTTTAACATAATTACATGGGAAAAGGGTAACAACTAATTCTTGATTATTTTGGGCAGGTAAAGAAAGGGATTATGGGCTAAGAGATATTGACACAGGAACCTCGAGAGCAGTCAGTATGTAGTCACTTAGTTTTCATTTCGTTTTTGTCTTGTATCTACTTTTGTTATCATTTGTCTCCTATCAAGTAGGAACCTTGCATTTTATTAATTTTATCACACCTTGGACATAACGAAGACTCAAAAGGAGCTTGTGAAATAAAATGAGTAGACTCAAAATCTCATTTCAACCTTTACCCTTTGACCTACAGTACAAAGTGATTAAACAATCAAATGTCCCAAAAGCAGGCAACCAGAGAAAGACAGACATGAAGGGCCATTGGAAACTATCAGCCAGGTAATCAGTCTTAGAAAACTGAATGTCTGTATGTATACCTGGTTCTTTGCAACAAATAAAATATAACAACAATGCAGTATAGGGACCAGAAATTTGGCATTTTAATTGAAAAACTTTCATATTTTCTTGATAATAGTATATTTAACATAAATATTTTGTCTACTTATAATATTTGTGTTTCCTTAAAACACTTATTCAATCAGCATTTAATAAGTTATTGCCCACACAATGAAAACACGCTGGTCTTATTTTTTAACAATTTAAATTTTATTGACTTTGTTTGCATAATAAGGAATCCATGACTATAGAAGTTGCCACTTTAAGTGACCACAGAACAACAAAAGATATAATTATTTTACATGATCATTACAATTTTATAAAGTTAGCTACAGCATACATATGTTTTACTATAAACTATATTCCTTTGGCCATATGTAAGCTGTCAGTACTGAAAGGTGTTTGAACATGAACCCCTGTTAGCAATGTATAAAGGAGAAAACAAACTAAGATTGTTTATAAGTATTTTACCTTTTAAAGTCCATGTTAACACTATTTTTGTCTGTTGCTATATTATATAGTTCTTAATACTAGGAAATGTGTTTTAACATTAAACAGTGGTACCTTTTCCTATCTTGATCTTAATTATGCCAGGAAATTACATTCGTTCATTATCAACCTTTATCAGAATGCTAAAAGTTTGAACCAAACATTTTTAGAAAAGCTTCTGAGCACAATTTCATGATAAATAGTGCATATGTATACTCTATGCACAGTCTCAAAATTTGGCAAGATGACTGCAGACCTCAATTCTGACCAGGAGAAAGATAAAGTATTAAGGATGTAAATGAGGGGGGAAAACCAAAACCCAGTACATGATTTTAAAAAATGAGCTAAAATTTAAATAGAAATACAAATATATTAACAAACTATAAAAATATTAGTTTAATATATATTTTTTGATTTTTGCTTACAATCCAAAGTTTGAAATATCTCTTGTGATGACAGGCAATTGAAACAGTGATGGGGAAGAAATTGATAAACAAGCTGTGAGGGGAGTGGCAAGTAGATCCATGTGACAGGTGAGTTAATTACTGTCCTTTCATTTCGGCCACACTGTTGGATTTTGGTTTACTGAATCGTCTATTACATGCTGGTAGAAAACAACATTGCTAGCTTATTTCCAGCATGTGGCCCTGGGTTAGCAAAAGAAAAAGAAGGAGAAACTCTGTTATATTTTAAGAGTGAGTGAAAGCTCTTGGGCCCAATTTGTCCCTGAAGTCACTCTGGGAACCCTGTGCTGTGTTTGCTGGAACAGCACCAGGAACTTTTGCATCCATGTGACGGGGCAATGACGAGTGTCAGGCTAAGAATGGGAATCTGTCCCCGTGAGTTTCCTGCTACCCCCCCACCTCATTTCCTCCCTCTTCCTTTTTCTCTTGCACTTTCACACACATCTTGTCCTATTAACTTAAGGCACTTTGCTAGGGAGATGAAAGAATTAGGCAAGAATGCACAAAGTAAGAGGTTCTTACCATCTCAAAGAAACATTTTGCCTGTGACAGAAAAGCACCATGTTGAGAACTTATTTCTATTAGTTACTTACAAAAATAATATAAAAATTAGTAATAAGCTTTACGGGTAGCTGTTAAATTGCCTAATTAGTGTGATCTTAAAAAACAGTATTTTAACTATCCTATTACACATAGGCCAAGGAGCATTTTAACGACAGCATGGGTGGGAGCGGACGCTGCCCTTTCCTCTGCCATGTGGACGTTGCTCCAGGCAACTCACATTCTGTCGGTGGTGGGGCTACCAGCATCCCCCTCTGCAAGGGTAGGAGCCCTGGGACCTGCCCTCAGTTTAATCACCTACATGCTGTGCTGGCGTGGCAGGGTATTTACAGATGAGAAAACCGACAAGTAGTGTTTAAACTGCAATAGTGATACTAAAGGAAGAATGTTTTAATATTCCTGAAAAACATTATAGGTAGCATTTTCTTTGCAGAGTATTTAAATGGGAGATTTCAAAGTAGTCTTTTAGCACAGCATTCTGAGCTTTCTCTCTCTTTCTGCCACAAAGCATGGGGTATTTCCTGAATGTAGAAAATGAAGTGGTTTTCAGAAAAGTTTGATCCCTCTCTCTGATATTCCCTTCTAATCATTTAAATGTCTCTAATGTAAAAAAAAAATCACCAGCTAAACTGCTTATACATTTTGTATCCAATGGGGTGACACTATTCATAAGAGTTTTTAATAGGATTTTAGAACATTTTAAACTAAGTGATTTAAACTTCATTTAAAAATCCTGTTTTACAGTGACCCATTTTCCCTTGATGTCAGATTCACATTAATTTAAAAATAAACCTCTTTAATAGAAATTCTGAGTGAGATTGACTTAAATGTAAGTAATGTAGGAACATGCTGGAAGTTATGTAGCACTACATTCAAATGCTGACTGTCAAAAATTAAGTGCCTTCTCAAGGAAGCTTTCTTAATTGTCACTGCTTTTCCTCTCCATCTGCACACAGCTTACAAAAACGTCACGTGTAACTCAATGATCACTCTTAAATTCTTACATTGTTTTGTGCAAACACACAGTTTGTTTTCTTTTGGCAAATGCCTCATTGCTTTAATGACTTCTGTCCACAAGGAAGAAAATGGAATTAAGTGAATATTCCTTCTTTCAAGACGAGCTATATTTATTACTGGAACGGAAGTTGTCATATCCGTGCTCGTTAGCTTTGAACTTCAAGCACGACTGCTTTTCCTCCAAAGACTGTTTCTCTTCAAATGACTGGCACCAGCAGCATAAGCAGGACTGTGGAAGACAAAGGCACTTCTTACGTATTTACATTGGCTCTCCTGTCACAACTCCTCCTGCTCTCTAGGTTTCCCACTTTCTTTGCATGACTGGGAGTTCTTGGGCCACTTTCTGTCTATGGTCTCTTATTTTTCCCCTTAAAGCCATATAATCACATAAGCAGCACATGATTATGATTTTTTAACAAGAAGAGCACAGAAGAAAAAATATATATAATTAAAATTCCTCAACTTTTAGTTAAAATGAAAAGAGAAAGCCACTCTTAATTCTTGATATTTGACCTTGACTCCTTGAGAAATTTTATAAATATGTAACATTTATAACATAACATTTTATAAATATGTAAATCAAGACATTTCCTACACAAGTAGAACTATCACCACATACATATACAGGTGACTAAACATGAGCACATGTGTGGAAGTGTGTGTAATTAATTTTAATAAAACCATAGTATATATACTACTTACCAGCCTGCTTTCTCTCACTTGACAGTGTTATAGACATCTTTCCCTATCAATGAATTTAATATTACATTGCCAGTTTTTTCAGCCACATGCTAATCTCATTCAATACTGTTACATAATTAGGTTATGCAATATGTCAGTGTTTCCATGTTATTTATCCAGTTTTTTTCTTGGATTTTTAAAAATTCAAACTTCTTTCATTCTGTTTGTTTTCTGAGAATCTATATGTATAAGAAAATGGGAGGCCCACTGTTTTATGTTCTGTAAAATAAGGGTGTTGATCTAGGTGAACTTTCTCTTCTAGCTGTAAAATCTATGAGTCTATGAGTGGGCAAGGAAGTTTATAGACTGCATTAGAGTTTACAGGGAAGCTAAGTTCTTGGCTTTCCAATAACGAACTACCAAGAACAAATGGATCATTCCCAGAGAAGGGGAGGAAATATATTTTTGTACATTGGCTCACTGAAGGAACAAGTGGATGGATGTAAGAATGTTACAATGCAGGCAGATGAATGAGGAATAACTAGACACATTCCACACTGAAAAGCACATCTCTGCTAAGAAACGGGACAAGAGGAGATGAGACCTGAATTAAATTTGTTTGTTTGACTTGCCATTCTCATGTCCATGTGAAAAAGAGATCAATGTGGTTATAATCCAAATTGCGCTGCATAGTCCAAAATCTACCCAAAACAGTGTCAGTGTATTTAATTTATGTTTAGCTCTTATTCATCATCTGATGTCTATCAGACATCAGTGCTTGTAAATTTTATTAATTGTATAAGCAATTCTAAAAGTAAAAGCTATTAATTTTATAACTGAGAGGTTGAGGCAGTAAAGATTGGTTGACTAAGATTTATAGACAGAAATCAATTACAGTGATTTGCAAACAAAAGTCATATTTTATAAAAGTCATCCATGGTGTAATGCAAGGGAAAACTGTAAATTTACTAGAGCTCTCTGGACAGATAGAAATATTAATAGTTTGGAAGGGACATATTGGATGCCAGTTAAGAAGACCTTTTTAGTTTGAAATACTCACTTACCTTAAAGCAATTTTTGAATCTTTTGCTCACCAAATACAGAGCTATTGGGTTAATGCAGGAATTCAGGGACGCCATGTTGATGCCAATATAGTCCAATACCAACAAAAAGCTGCAAAATATAAACCAAGACATGTCTGTGAAAAATATGCTGTTCTGAGCATGTATTCTTTACAGACCCTGGTGTTTTTGTGAAGAAAAAAAAATTACCCATATACAATGGTTTTGACTTTATTAATGGTCTTTGCTGGTAATGTTCTTTCTCTCTCTCTCTCTCTCTCCTCTCTCTCCCTGCCATGCCACGCACTCTCCCCTAACACCATGCCCAATTCTCTTCTTTAAAACAAAATTTTATTTAAAAGTGCTGTGTCTGGCTGGAAAAAAAAAAAGAAAAGGTTTACCATGTGCAAAGAAGAATCAGACCTGATTTTTCAAGCTTGCCACTCATTTATCTGGACAACTCTGGCTCGCTATTTACTCCCAGGTTCCTGCCAAGTTCCCTCTACTCCTTCCTTTGAAATAGGAGTGGAGGAAAAAAAGTGGGGATCTTAATTGCTTATGATCCTTAATTGCTTAAGGGTCAGAAAAATGGTACTCCCTGCTTCTGCCTATGAAAGGAATCAATGGAAAACTGCTGCATGACATTTATTTACAAAACTATCTCTACTTTACTTTTCTTACCTCAAGAGTTCACATCTTTTGGGATCAGTCTGGTCATAAAGAGTGAGCTTCAAAATCCTGCTGAGGTGAAGGGGAAGCCAACAGAGGGCGAAGACCAGGACCAGGCAGAAGACTGTCTTGGCCACTTCCCGTCTCTGAAAGCAGACCACAGTCAGACCCAAGAAGGATGGTTCATCACAATCACGGTGTTGTCCTTTCCCACACAGAATAGTCAATATTGTTTACAGAAAGTCAGTGGTGATTTGTGAAAATTCAGGACACTGAGCTTTACATTGAATGGTTAGTGTGAATTAAAACTAAAATGACTAGAGATTCACCTTTAAAAAGTAATGGCTCTTTCTAGATTCCTTAGATGATATAGAATATGTCTAGATACATAATGTAAAAAATACCAGAGCAAGAAAAAAGGAGATATGTTCTGGTTTAAAACAACTATAATTTACCATCACAATGCCTTTGTTGTTCATAATCATAATTGTAATCATGAGTTAGCAAATATTTCTACTTTCTTACCTGCTTTAGGTGATCGTTTAAAGCAATTTGCATTCCACTCTTCTTTCTCAACATTTCACAGGTCATCAGGGTATAAAAAAATGCAGTGATGGCCAATGGCAAGCAGAAATAGAAGCTGAAGAGCCACCAATCTTTAGCTGTCTTATAAAACTATGGGGAAGAGAGAACTTTGTGATTAATAGTCTTCTGTCAGAAACTCTTACATGACAAATGTTCATAACAATTCATCATGGAATAATTATATTCTAACGTAGATCCATTTTATAAACACTATGTAGAATCTTTCAGATCATCTCTACTGAACAAATAATGAAATACTTATATTAAATAATACAAACTTTTCCTAAAAGGCATTTCAACTCTCAAAAGCAATGTGCTATAAATATGCCTTAAAATTTAATCAGTTAGACAAAATTTAAAATATTTGGCAATTCAGATATTTTTATCTTCATATAAACTAGGTATCTTTAAGCTATTCTTTTTATGAAATATATTATGTAAAGACATCATAGTGTTTAAGGGAAATTTTCACCCTTTAACACAATTATTTCATGGAAAAAACAGATACCAAAAAGGTCTATGTTAATCTCAGTATGTTAGCTCAGTAATGTATAAATCTAACCTACCAATTAAAAAATCAAAGTTGCTTAAGACATGTGCCTTTTCTCTTATACCTTTTCTGTGTTTGTTTTTAAATTGTTGCTGTCTATATATCTGAGTGGGAGTTGATAAGAAAGGAGAAAAATCAAGTTTCTTCTCAACTTCATATTAATGTCCCTCTTTGTTTTTTTGATTACCATCATACATGTCCTGCATGAAGTTTTATAGCTTTCTCATGCGTGGAATGGGAAATAATCATTGGTGACCCTAAGGTGAGCCCCTTTGCATTAACTTCTCGTCATCCATTGTGTTGGAAAGAGCTTTTTGCACTTGGGATCTATCTTCTGATGACCAGCATTGCTCTTCTTTTCCTATCGCTGAATTAAATGTCCTTGAATAAATTATCAAGGTGAAAGCTGCGTTGCGATGGAAGCTTTCTCTTTAGAGAGAGGACAACCTTCCCTTTCAGAATCCATCCACACCTGGGTGACTTCGAGTTGATAAATCACTGAACTAGCTACTCCCTCTGCTGTGTTGTCTTATGTAAAAATAAAGTAGCTGTCGGTCCTTGTGAGGATTTGAGGAGAAAAGCTGTAAATTCAGACTCGTTCTCTCGTGTGAACCTGGCTTATCTGTATCCCTGAGTGCCTGAGCATTCTCGGAGAAGCAGGGGCCCAGCTTATGGCAGTTTAGGTCATTAGTCACTGTTGACCCTGCAGACCAGGGATCTACACTCTTAATTTATGCCAAAAACAGTCATAAATCAACAGGCTCCAAGAAGGGGACATCAGAAGAGAAATAGCTAAATATTTGTAAGGGAGGAACAGGGAGGGGGGAAAAAGTAAAATTTACCTGCATGAAGGCAGTTTTCTGAATGGGATGAAGCAAGCAGATCCTCAGATTATTTCCCTTGTAATCAATGGTGATCATATCAAAAGCCACGGCCTCAGGGATGGCCAGGACCACAGAGACCACCCAAATTAAAACAATTTCTACTGCTGTCCATTTTGGAACCCCGATTCCTTTAATCCGACTCCATGAGGCCACGGCTCGATATCTGCAGAGCGAAATAGAATTCTTTGTCAAGCTGGCAGGGCCTGGTTTTGTTGAATCACATAGTTTATTTTCTAAGTAACGTAACAATCACTAGTAAAGTGTTCGGGATATATCTGATTTAAACACACACTCTCACCTGTCAATACTTAGAGCACACAGACTCAGCACTGTGATTCCCACGGAGGCCTTCTGAATGAAAGGCACCAGCTTACACATCTCAACTCCAAAGGGCCAGTCCTGGGCGAGGAGCTGCATGGAGGAGACATGAAGGTGAAGTTCTGTTAGGGAGATTTTCACAGGGCACCCTCTGAACTGTATCACTTAGTGGAGAGCAATTAACATGCAGAGTAAGATAACACACTTCAGTTCTTACTCTTCTCCTCCTGGACTACTCCTTTGAAAAGCACCAGTGTTCGATGTATGAAACAGGAGAACATATTGGGAATAATGACGATGCAGCCAGTTCATGAGTGTGTTACACATCTGTAGTAGCTTAGGGTGGGATCTCTACCACGGGGACTACTGGGGCCAGTCCCTGAAGCTCCCCTTACAAAACTGAACCTGAAGTGCAGAGAACATTGCTTATTATGTTATGGAGTCTCCAGTGCTCAGGTCACGGCCAAATCAAAGTATAGTTTCATCAAAAATAGGTGATACACATTCCTTAGCCAGGAAGAGTACTCCTATGGAGAACTAATTCTTTACCTTAGTCAACTTACTTGACTGCACAGTAGCTCAGCTGAAATGCACGTTGCTTCTGGAACACACTAGGCACACTCCAGCCTTCAGACTTTACTCTAGACCATTCCCCATCCTGAAAGTCTCTCTCCCCACAGAGCCAGTAGGAAAATTCCCTTGTCTCCTTCCCATCTTGCTCAAATCTCATCTTTTCAACAGAATCTACCCTGACCACGCTAAGAACGGTGACCAGTCAGGCCTTACCTTACTCCACCTTCCTTTTTGTCTGTGGTGCTTACTCACTCCTATCGCTTTTATTATAATATTTACTGGTTGGTTTTGTGTCTGGCACTTCTGGAATATATGCCAGAATATGGGCTCTGCATCTGCCTGATATACTACCTGGCTCATAACAGAGGCTTAAATATATATTCCAGCCCCCAACATGTGTGGGCACTGGTTATACAATGAGCAAACATAGTTCTTGCTATAATACATATATGTGTATGTTTGTAATAGATATAACATACACATTTCTCTTCATTTGACTTTCCATTATATAACCATTTATTGTTAAGCTCAGTTATTTTCTTTCTGAGGACAACTGGGTGTGCCCCACACTGGTAAATGAATCACTTTAGGTAAACATCTGGATCGAATATTCATGAGGTTTTGAAAATAAAGAAAAATATTTGAAATCTATGTGTCTTTTTTAATGTTTTTAAAAAATAACCTTCCAAAAGTGAAAACTATTTTGAAACACAATTGAGTCTTTCCTTTTTTTCATTTGTGAAAATTCTTTGTGGAGTTTGTCAAGCTGGATGATTGCTCTATAACCAGAATAGCCACAAAGGTTGAAATGTATGTCTCAGTATGAATATAAGTTGGAAATCCAACATGGGACCAGTTTCCTTTATAAGTCATATGTGAAAAATTACACTGATATGTAGGACAAATATTGGCAAACTTTCCATAAATATGCTTATTCCAGGGTCCTGAAGGCTGAAAGGGCCAGCCAGGTAATACAGAGAAGTGAAGGGAGCCGGGCATAAGAAAGTCATCGGTATTAGGAAGAGAATAGGGAATGGTGGGGTCTGGGGAAAATGCTGTCTAAAAGGAGCAGCTGCTAGTAAACATGACATGATTTTTGCCAAAGGACTCCAGATATAAACATCTCTTGATTTTTAACCAAAAATGAAAAATTTTATATGAACTGCCACAATTTATAAAAGTTGTCAACTAAATTATGTTTAAAACACATTATCAGATAACATTATATTAACAAAATATATCTGTGGGTCAGACTAGAGCCTCTGTCTTGTGATTTCTGGATTAATCAATGAACACATAACTGCTTATTTGTTCATTCACCCAATAAACATTTATTGAGTATCCATTATGTACCAGACACTGTTCTGAGTCCAGGGTGCACATCATATCAGTGAACAACTTAAACTCCCTGTTCTCATGGCGCTTAAGTATAGTGAGGGAGGCAAACAAAAACCACATAAACATTTAATATGTTGTCACACAGGGAGTGTCATCCTACTAAGGGAGTTTGGTGGAATTTTGAGTGCTTTCTGATAGGCCTCTGAGCAAGGTCTCTCTGAAGAGGCAACATCTGAGTAGAACACAACTAAAATAAGAAAGTAAGCCACACAAAGAACAGTCTGGACAGAGAAAAGAGCTGGTGCAAAGGCCCTGGGGTCAAAATAAGCTGGGTGAGCTGAAAGGGCAGGAAGAAGTCCACCGAGGCTGTAGTGGAGTGATCCAGACCAAGTGTCTAGAAAATGAAGTTGTAGAGAAAAATGTTTGACTTCTTTCCTTCTTTCTTTCTTTCTTTTCTTTTCTTTCTTTCTTTCTTTCTTTCTTTCTTTCTTTCTTTCTTTCTTTCTTTCTTTCTTTCTTTCTTTCTTATTTCTCTCTTTTTTTTTCTCTTTCTTTTTTGAGGAAATCCATTGCAAGTTTTTTTAAGAAGGGAAACAGAGTTATCTTATTTATTTATTTTTTAAAAAGCACTCTAGCTGTATTTTAAAAAAGACAGTGATTCACTCTAAAAAAATCAATGTAACATTTATGCGGGGTCAAGAAAGGAAGCTTGGATGAGAGCTCGGGGTTGAGCTGGACCCTGTGGTGGCCTGGAGCTGAGGAGAGTGGGTTAGAAACCAGAGACTTTTTGAAGGTAGAACCAGTGAGACTTGTTGATGGGTTGGATGTCGGGTGTGACAAGTCAGCAAACTCAAAAAGGTTTATCATGTGAAAAGTCTTCCCTACTAAAATAGGGAAGACTCAGAGTACCACAGGTCTGAACCAGCTACTGAAACTGGAAATGGTGGCATTTGTGTGGCCTGTCACTACCAGAACCAATAAGGAGAGACAAGGATTGAATCTTTATGGGCACTTTACTCACATGCCAGATTCAACAGTGGGTTATGTACCCTAAAATCCATCTTAACATCTCATCTCAAGCTAACCTTTATAAGGAGAAGAAAGGGGTAGGTAAGGGGTTTGGATAAAAGGTTAATTAGATAAGAGTTTCAGTCCTCTGGAGGTTTTCCTAGTATTTCGTTATCTGCTGACCAATTATTCTTTATCTGAATCAGGGACAGACAGACAGTCCCTCCCTGGAACACAGTGGCTCAGATACCATCTCCACCTCCACGCTTGCAGACCCCCTGGGGCACAAAGACTGAATTGCTGGTCAACCTCCTGGAGTCCTGTAATTCATGCCTTCCAGTTCCTGGAATAACCACTTTCCACATGCATTAATCATTTAAACCTGTTACCTGGAACTACAGCTAAAATCTTTAACTCTTGATTCCCCTAGCACTACAAATTCAAGATGCTTTCAAATAACTGTCAATTGCCCTTGGAAGCATTAAAAAAAAAGTTTCAGCCAATTACAAGGACTCTGCCAGACCCAGCTTGGTATAAATCGTCTACACAATATTCTGTTTAATCATACTGATTGTTCTCAGATATATCAGGGGTAAAAAGGAAAAGGAAGAAAAGAAAGTAAAACTTTTCCCTTCAAAATGCAGTCTCATTTCCCACTTCTTGAATGTGGGTTGAACTTATGATTTGCTTAAAATGTGGTGAGAGTGATGATGGGCAACATTTGAGACTAGTTCATCAAAGGCTTTAAGGCTTCCTTCTTGCTCTCTCTTGGGTTGCTCACTCTGGGGGAGGCCGGCTGCCATGCCGGGAGGACACTCATGCATTCTTCAGAGAGGCCAACATGGCAAGGACCTGTGGCCCCTTGAAAACAGCGCGCACTAATTTGTCTGGTGTGTGAGTGAAAAAGACCCTCCAGCCCTAGGTAAACCTTCAGATAACTTCAACCCCTGCCAATATCTTGACTCCACAAGAGACCCCGAGCCAGCGGCTCCTGAACTCTTGAACACGGACGTGGTGTGAGATGCTAAATGTTTGTTTGAGCCACTCAATTTGGGGGTAATTTGCTATTCATCACTTGACAACTAATATATTTGTCCTTGATCTCTCACTTAATAGATCCACATTTGAACCCCATGTTCTGATTCTGGAGTCTGCAGTATTTTTAAGAAGCTGATCTTGAAAAAAAAAAAAGAATGTTTAGAATTAAAATCAATATGAGTATTTTTATGACCGGGTCTATGTGTCAAAATTTTCTTCTAACAACCTCATTATTTTATCTACTAAAAGTCCAAACATTTGGATATTTTCAAGTATTTTATTGTCTCAAACTATTTCCAAATATGCAAATATCAGTATCACAGAAGTATAGCCATCGGGTGGATCAAGATGAATGAGTGTGCAGGCCACTGAAGGGAAAGAAGTCTGGCCGATGAAAATGAGCTCTGTTCTGAGTCCAGACCCTGTTTTGTGGTTTCTATTGTTTTTGGCTCAGTCTAGAAACTGGATCGTTGCTCTTCATACCACTGGGAGGCCTGCGGCTCAACCTCTGACCCAAGTTATCACAGAGGATGAGGAAACACAAACTGAAAACTATAACAATTTTCTTCACGTTCTGCACAGAGATAGCCAGAAAGCTAATCACAACTGAGAGATTGCAATGTTCTAATCTATCCTTGCAAAGGGAACTGCAGGACAGGAAGCAGCAAACTTTTTGAGCTTTCAGGACTTCAGGTTTCAGGTGAGACCCAAACGCTGCTGGTCCTTAGGGGCCACAGAAGCTGGGGGACTGCGTGACCACTGACACGTTTCTTATTTTGTAGCGAGAGGGACGACTTCGATGATCTCTGCCCCTGCAATCAGATGGCTTTGTGAAGACATGGAGACATGGTTGATGGCCGTGGTAGAAACCACCCCTTCACTGATGCTCATCTCTCCCTTAGTGGCCTCCAGCAAGAAAGTCTGAGCAAGGCAGTGCTTGGAGCTTATTTAAAATGCAGGGATCAGAAGAGAACAAGGGGACAGCGACCAGAGGGGAGAGGGGAGGGAATTTCAGGGGGAAAAAAGGAAGGATTTACAGGAACTAGCATAAGGGGGGTGGAAAGGGGAGGGAGGTGGGGAGCACGGGGGGGGGGGTGGGCTGCGAAGGGAGTAAAAGAAAGAATACTGTAGTTGAA